ATCAATCAATCAATTCAAAGCTTAGCGTACACACCTGTTTCGCATGATCATCACACGCCTGGTTTGGTGTAGCTGATGGAATCGACGAGGATGTCTGTTGGTGTTGCTGTCCAACAATGCCACGTACTTGATGTGGTTCCATTACCGTATTACTGCTAGTATTACTATTGTTATTACTATTACTGTTATTGTTGTTGTTATTGAAAGTACCCGTTAACGTAGCAGCACTAGTGTTGTTGTTACTGTTACTGTACGCTTGTCCAATCGTCAATGCTGAACTACCGTAGTTGGTAGCTCGCGGGTCAGCTGAACAGCCAATCAGTGACGCGGCCTTCGAGACTGCGGCCAATGCGGCTGCAGGTGAAAGTTGCGGTACTGTAGCGAACGCTTGCCGATTGGTTGCGGCGTTTAGCGATAGGTGCGGGCGCGCGAAAGAGAGGTTCGGTGCAGTCGTCTGATAGTAGGGCGGTGTGGACGGCACGGGACACGACGTCAGCGGATTGGCGCCGAAATTCGCCGCCGCAGCAACAGCGGCTGAAGCCGAGGCTGAGGCTGGAACAGTAAATGCGAGCTGATGCGTGGGCGGTGGTGGCGCCGGACAACGAAGCGACGCGGCTGCGTTAGCGGTTGCAGCAGCGGCTGCGACAGCGGCGGCCTGATAGGATGCAGCTACTGCGAGGTTGGCAGCTGCGGCGGCTGCGGCTGTTGGGTTCTGCAACGAATGTAGCGCTTGATGATAGTTGGTTACGGTAGAATTTAGAGCTGCAGCAGCAGTAGCAGCAGCAGCAGCACTGTTGTTGTTCACTGTTGCCGTTTGATGTGGTGTGGATGCGATGAGTAGTGGTGGTCGAATTGGCGATACTGCCATACACGTATTGGCGGCCGCGCCTCCTCCTCCACCTAACAGACACGAAGCAGCCGCTACAGTGGCCAGAGAACACTGCTGCTGCGAAGTGGCGCTAGTGCTGGACGATGGACAACTGGCGTTCACCGATAGAATCGGATTTATTAAAGCTGTTGATCCGCCACTTAATCCACCGGATAAGGATCCTTTTCGTGAAGCAGAAGATTGCGCAAGATTTGTGCCACCAGCAACTCCAGATATGCACTTGAGCGGATTTGTTCCTGATTGGACTTTTTGCTGTTGGCCACTTGTTTCAATAGTCTTAGTTGCAGTAGCAGCAGCAGCACTACTAGTGGTAGCAGTTGGAACAGAACTTTGTTGACTGTTATTACTATTATTATTGTTACTGTTACTTGATTTGATTGATTGACTGTCTCCAATTAGAGTAGCACGATCAGTTTGGTTTTGTGATGATGATAGTGCAGCAGCAGCAGCAGAAGTCAATTTCGGTGATGGGGCCGATAGACAGTGTTTTTTATCGGGAGGTGCTCCACTTATTCGGTCACTTGATTCGTCTGGGTGATCTTTTGTTGCGGCAACTGTTGCAGCAGCAATAGTTTGAGTTGTTCGGTGCTGTTCGGCAATGGAAGGCTGGCTTTGATTGGCTGGCTTTGCGAGCAGCGTTTGAGACGATGAGGTCAACGCGACAGAGCAGCTAGTGCTAGTGCTGGTGGTGGTTTGGCTGTTAGAGGACGAGATGGCCGATTGAGTCGGTGGATTTGTCGGGACTGACGTCGAGACTGGGACTGCTGAGCTTAGCGGGGTTCGAGTTGTAGCCTCAGCGTTCTCTGCAGACGATACGGCAGCAGCAGGCGGAAAACCAACAATAGTTTCAACTGCGCTAGACAGTGAAGATGCTTTGCGTTTAGTGCCCAGTACAGAGGTCTTGTTTGATACGCCGCTCTTCGGATTACTACAGTTACTGTTGTTGTTATTGTTAGTGATGTTTTTGACGGCGGGAATTGCTGATTGAGTTTTTGGGGAGTTTTTTAGAATGTTGGCCGGCTTATGTTGAGTTAGTTGAGTGAGTGATAAGGGTAGTGATAACGGTGGTACTGATAAGGGCACTGATAACTGGACGGTGGGCGCTGATGCCAGGAACACAAGCTGACTTGCTGGTGCCGACAATAAGAAGTCTGCTGCTGAATGCTGCTGATTGAAGACTGACGGTTGAGCGTTTAGAGGGTCCACTTGATTACAGTAATAATAACTATGGCTATAGTTACCGATGTTATCAATTTTATAAAACAATTGTATCGGTTGATGATTGTATGGGAATATGTGTGGCTGTAATTGTGGTATTACAGTTAATTGATTACTGATAATTGCATTGATAAGATTATCAGAGATATGGTTACGTGTGCTGCTATAGAACGGATCTGGGAGAGTATCCGTCAGTAGAGCCGATCCAACCGGTGGATAAAACACAAAACAGTTTAGATTACTGATATCCGTTCGCTTTATGTGATCTGACTTCAGACAACGCCTGAGTCAGGTTCAAAATAACAATAACAATGTTTAGAAACAATAATATTCAATAATTAATAATAATAATAATATTATTATTATTAACAATAACGATGTGAACGGAACAACAGTATATTACGATCTGATCAGATACTTTCCGAGTTACCAACTGAGTATGCAGATTGTGCTACTGATCCGGAATTGATCAATACAATACAAGTGAATTAAAGATATTGAGTTGGTGATCGAATTGAATTGATTTCCACTTATAAAACAGAGAATATTTCGTTTGAAAATGAGAAGCGACGAGCAGATTTGCAGCTTTGATGGTGATAAACTGATAAACGATGAAGTAATGATAGGGATTTATCTTGCGTAACGCACCCACACCCGTAGAATAGCTCTAGCTGGCTGCTGTCAACGCTGTGAAGATGAAACGAGGTGTGAAAATAAATAATTAAATAAATAAATAAATCTGCAGTGAGTAACAGACAACAGTTGCTGATGACAGTAAGAGATAATGATAACACTAAAATAATATCAGTAATATCAAGTTATACTT